CCAACGCAATAATTTACGGATCTTGAATACCGAAAGCGAGGGAACTGTATGTGGACATGGACGAGCCCTAATGATCAAAGTAAGGACGAAATAGACTTTATACTGAGAGCACACCCAGGCATCATGCAAGATGTGGAAGTGCTTGGCAAGGTACGATGCGGTGACCATAGAATGGCATGGTCTCGAATTCACCTAGACGTGAAGGAAGGAACGACAGAAACTGATAAGCAAGAAGCCAATGAATGAGCTAGCACTGAGAGGGAAAGTACAAGAATTTAGAGCCTCGCTTCAGAACAGGTTTCGGCTCTTGATAATCTAACGAGTATCATTACGGAGGGTGCTGTGGAAGTTGGAGATACGGTAGTTAAACAGACACTGGCAAGCTGTCCTAGGAAACGAAGAATCTCATTGAAAGGGTCAAAGCATGAAGGCCTCAAGTACAACCGACAAAATAGAGCTCGTACAGCTTTCGAGGTTGATTACTAGGCGTACGGTAACCGATGTAACAAGGTATAACATTGAGAGAATTGAACACGATCTTAAGAACAGAGGAAGCATCAAAGCAGTGAAAGGAAAACTTGGAATTTTAAAAAATTCGTATGTATGCACTAAGCGACAAGGAAGGCAAAAAAACAACCAATATATAAAGGGTAGTTAATTAGCGAGGGTGTTTTACAGAGATCTGTACAGAGGCCGAGACTACCACGACCTTAATATAAGAACTAGCAGTAAGCCCAGATGACACCACACCAGTAATGATTGAAGAAGCCGAGAAAAGCCTTGGAGAGCTTGCAAAGAGGCAAGGCTGCTGATGAGGATCAGGTAACATCAGATCTGCTGAAAGATGAAGGACAGATTGTGTTCGAAAAACTAGCCATCCTGTCTACGAGGTGTGTCCTTACGGGAAGAGAACCAGAATCTTGGAAGAATGCTAACATCATCCAAACACATAAAAAGAGATGACGAGGACTTGAAGAGTTACAGGCTGATCAGCTTGCTCTTTGTAGTATAAAAGCTACTTACCAAGGTAATTGCTAACAACAATTAAGACATCACAATTCAATCAACCAAAGGAAATTAACAAGAGGATTTCGAACAGGCTACTCAACAATCGACCACATTCATACTATCAATCAGGTAAAAGAAAAATGCTCAAAATATAGCCAACCACTATACATAACCTTCATAGATTACGAGAAGACATTTGATTCAATAGAATTATCAGCAGTGATGCAGACACCGCGGAATCAGGGCGTCGACGAAGCATATATAAACATCCTCGAAGAAATCCACAGGGGATCAACTGCTACCATAGTGCTTCAAGAATGAAGCAACAGAACACAATCAAGAAGAGTGTAAGGCAGGGGAATGCAATCTCCCCAATGCTATTTACTGCGTGCTTACAGGAGGTTTTCAGAGGCCTAGAATAGGAACAGTTGAAGATAAGAGGCAATTGAGAGTACCTTAGTAAACGGCGCTTCGCTGATACATTGCATTGCTGAGTAACTCAGGGGACGAACTGCAACTCAATGTTATGGAGTTAAACAAGGAGAGCAGAAAGGTAGGTCTTAAAATTACTCTGCTGAAAACGAAAGTAATGTACAACAACCTTAGAAGACAACAGTGCTTCGAGATAGGTAATAGTGCACTTAAAGTTGTAAAAAACGATGTCTACTTAGGACAGGTAATAACCGCCTAGTCGAACCACGAGATTGAAGAAACGAGGGGAATAAAAATAGGGTGGAGCACATTTGGCAAGCGCTCTGAAATTATGACAGGCATTCCCACTAACCCTCAAAAGGAAGGTATATAACAGCTGCATGTTGCCGGTACTTGGCTACCGAGCGGAAACTCTGTAGACTTACAAAGAGGGTTGAGCTTCGGCTGAGAACTACGCAGTTAGCGATGGGAAGGAAAATGGCAGGTGTAACCTTAAGACGCAAGAAGAGAGCAGAGTGATCAGGTAACAAACCGGGGTCCACGGATATCATAGTTGAAATCAGCACGAGGAAATGGGCATGGGCCGCTCATTTAGCGCGTAGACCGTATAACCGCTGGTCATTAAGGGTAACTAACTGGATTCTCAGCGATGGCAAGCGAGTTAGAGGTAGAGAGAAGGTTAAGTGGGCAGAGGAAATGAAGACGTTGGCGGGTATAAAAATGGCAGCAGCAAGCGCCGGACCGAGTTGACTGGTGGAACATGGGAGAGTTGACTGGTGGAACATGGGGGGCCTTTGTGCGGCAGTGGACTATAGTCAGGCTAATAATGATGATGACACTTTAAAACGGAGACTTCCCTTCAACATCATTGGGGACTGTTCGTTACGACGTTAGGCTAGTTAAAGCCACGCGCAAATTTTAGAGGTACGCGAGGTCGGATCTCAAAGAGTTAGCTGGTAGCTTGACTTCATATAACATTGCAATTTGTTGCTATCCGATTAATAGCTTCACCTTCGTGGAGAAAGTGTGTGTGTTCTTGTTTTCGTCTGACCAGTCTGGTTATCACACGGTCATATGACCGCTGCCAGAGGCAGCAAGTGAAAAATTGAACTCCCTAAATTTATTTTTGGAGATTTCATTACTAGACTCCCACCGCTGGAGCTGCCTGGCAATTCTTTGTCACTCCATCCCCACTGCTCAAGGCTGCCCAAGTATTTGCCGTTGTCGTAACTCAGAGTACCATGAGAAATACTTCATTTTCTTTATGCTTATAGCACGAAATCATTCTACAGTCTAAAAAATATTTAAAATTGGCCTTTCCGAAATGCGTCGCCAGGTTACGTGCTAATTCTAATATTGGAAGCCGTTATACGAAGGCGTGTTTGATATAAACAGCCGGACAATCGTTGTACTTCTAATCATTAGCAGAAATAAGCGTTTTTTCATATCCTGAAACAAACGCTAATCACGGAACTTCAAAGCAGTGAAAGCGCTCTTGTGCTTTTTTTTTTTAGGACAATGGGTATTTGTGACGGCCTCCGACAGGTGGCGGAGTTCTACACGTTGCAGTGAATTTTTACAATTCTCTTCCTTTTCTTTCTTTTTCTTCTCTTCTCTCTGCTCTCTTTATGATCTTTCTATTCACCTTTCTTAATCTCCCAGTGTAGGGTACTCAACCAGAACTCTTTCTGGCTAACCTCCTTGCCTTCTCCGTTTCTGATGGCTTGCTTCCTTTATGCATGACAGCGGTAGCAATGGGCTGTGTCACTGAACTTCTGTCGGAATGAATAGCGTGTTGAAATCAACAATGACCATGATAGGCTAAGACAACGAATACGGAACTGAACTCATCGAATACCACTACAATTTACGGGCAGAATCAATTCTCTATGATGTCACCCCCAAATAGCCAGAACCTTACAAGTTTACCGTAGCATTTCAGAAACAATGATAAACTAGAAATCAGAATGATTGTACGTGACACGCTCAGAAGTGGGTGAAACTATGACGCGAGAAAAGTAAATAACTGGATCTTAACTGCAGACCTCAAGCGCCGTGCACTTGCGTCGTTTTCCTGCACCTCTTTCTACATGACAGGAGTCACGAGACAATTACCGTTGTAAAGCACTTACTGTCGCCCAGAAAAAATAACACGTTTCTTTTCATAAAGTATGGTGTTCTCTAGTTATAACTACATTAGATTATTTGTAATTCGCGACAAGTTCTACTGTAGCCATGGCTGCGTGTTACTCTTTCGGGCGAGTTGATTTGGGCTGCTTTATCGTGTTCACTCATTTCCTATCATTTACGTGACATGCCTTTTCTTGGGGTAAGCAATTGAGTACATTATCATGCACTAAGAACTGAAATTTATCAAAAATTTGAAACACTTAAAATTTCAAAATTTTCGCAAAATTCTGTTGTGATGTATTTTTATAATGATGTAATGGAGTCAAAAAGTTGATGTAATAAATATTTGCAAGTGAATTGCCGTAGCTAACCAAGGTGGCTGCATACCTCAACGTACAAGCGTTTCACCCTGAGTCGTTGTCCTCATGCCTTCAGATAACACTGCACTAGATGACAATACTTGGTCTGCTGTACCGGGAGAGAAGTTTTTCTGGATTGCCGACTTGGCGGCTTCAGAAACAGATGACAAGAGGCCTTGTTATAAGTGCGCAATTTCATGTCGACTGTCATGATGAATCATAAGTGTTTTGTGACATGGAAAGTGACTACGCCAGAGCACGCTGATGAGTTACACATACTTTGGAATTAGCGCCACTGGAGTATTCAGAATTGACTGATTTATATGTGGGATTTGAGGTCCCGAAACCTCCATATGATTATGAGAGACGCCGTAGTGAAGGGTTCCGGAAATTTCTACCACCTGAGGTTCTTTCACGGGCACCCAAATTTGGGCACACAGCCCTACAACATTTTCGCCTTCATCGAAAATGCAGCTGCCGCAGCCGGGATTTGATCCAGCGACCTGCGGGTCAGCAGCCGAGTACCTTAGCCACTAGGCCACCACGGCGGGGCTGGGGGTATTCAGAAGACAGAGGTGCAGCTGAAAGAATGAGTGTGTCAAATAGGAACATGAAGAAGTCACCACGCAACGTATATAGTGCCCCCAAAAGCTGAATCAGTCGATTCAAAGTGTTCTCTTCAACGCTAGGAAAAGTAATTAGCACCTAATTGAACAGTAGAGCTTTTGCATATCAATTTTAGTTGATTAAGCCATTAGGAAGAATATAAAAAGTAGCCTAACTTCACATGACAGCAAACCAGATATTGTTGCTGTCATTATGTTGTGGTTAACAATTTCCATTTTGTGTATTACACGAATCACTCTGTATAATATTGACAGTTGATGCTGAAATAGCAAATGAAGCTTCCATAAAGCACGCCTGTCTACCGACGCACATTTCTCGTTTCTGTTTGGCACATTTGAGGTGCACGAAAATGGCAATGTCTCATGCCATTTGCTTTGGGAACATCGGTAAAACAATATTTAAAAATTTGTATAATGTTTATGTCATAAATGAAACATTACTTACCACTCCCATGTTCAGACACGTGCCTGTGCGTGCTCCAAACGTTTTTCTTGAGGACATACTTATGTGTCAGCAATAAGAAAAAACATGTTAAATTCATTAGCGCATTTGAGTTTGCTAGGCAGACACAACACACATCCACTTCAATGCATGTGGCTGTATGCATAAAGCATACCCTTTCTATAAATAACACAAATTATTATTTTCATTTGAAGCTTCTTTTTATCAGTCTCACTGCGAAGGCGGCTTCAATGATGCTACATTCAGGATAAATTGAGTGTTACGTCCTTCATTTTTTTATGATGGCATAATAATGGGATGTTTGTTATATCACTGCAGGTCTATATGAAATAGGGTTTTCGTGCTCGGGATTATTTAGGCTCAGAAATACCACATCTTCGTTGCTTCGTTGTGCAACTGTGTGTAACTGCTATGAAAGTGGATGCCAAGAACCCACAATTTTTGTTGTAGTTTCATCGCTGCAGTGCCCTCATACGATGTCTGTTTTCTGCACTTTGGCCTAGCCGTAATCTTAGCAGGTATAGCAGATAACGTAGTTGCGAGAAATAACGGCAGATGCAGCCACTTTCCTTACACCGAAGATGTTTACCTCTAGCCTGTGCGTTCCCAGGAGGAGGGATTACAGTCAGGGCGGAGCATGCCCATATGTAGCCAAAATGTAGACTATGAGATGGCGCAACAGGCGGACCACTTGTCCTTCGGAGGGCGTGCTACAACGAGAAATATAGGGTTGGCGACGCTTGCCTCAGCATTGCCTGATGTATAGTACTGCGAAACGTCATAGCAGGTGAGCCAGCGCTACGCGCTCACGCCGGTGAAGAAAGCAGGGGCAGCAAAGAGGGGTAAGCAGCAGCGACAGCGAGTGCAAACTGAGTACGCTGGATTCTGCAAAAGAGGAGATTCGAGTCAAAAACCATAAGTCCCATGAAGAAAGTTGCCACCTGCACTAGCTCACGTCGAAAATTTCAGTGGACATCGACCTACAACAGAAATGCGAGTACAGTTTCACTGGCATACCCTTTCCGTATACGAAAGCTGTGAAATACTTGAAAAATTTATAATTTTTCAAGTATTTCGCCTACTCAATTTTTTTTTCAGTATTCTTTTTGCAACGGCAAAGATCTTCACTTGCATATAGCTGCGTAACCTAAGTTCCTGGACACGAGGGTCTACAGGGAAATGAAGTGGCCTATGCCGCTGCCCACCAGCACGTCAGCCGCGCTACCCTGGGACCAAAGATACCCTATCCGTGGCTGCAGAGATTGAGGTAGTAATAAACACCAGCTCGTTGCTATTTCAACACTATGAACTGGAACAATAGGTGTACCCTCCACCCCACCCAAAACTGACCAAAGAATAAAGCGTGATCTTCAGACGCCTGGAAAGCAACACGTACATACTTGAAACATTAATGCGCCACCTCTACCGAACGACACATGGCTACATGTGCCTGCTCTGCAGCGTACCGGACACCCTGGCACTGGCATTCCAGTAGCAAGTGTGCCCGCTGGCACACTTGCTACTGGAATGCCAGTGCCATGCAAATTATGGCATGCAACCGGAGCGGGACCAAGTACCAAGAACGAACGACGACCACCTAATTGAAACGTGGGAGGCCAAGCTCGTCCTATAGGACCTGGAAGACCAGCAACAACTGGTCGACAGGGCCAAGCGGGCAGTCGAAGCCAGAGTGTTCCTGGACTAGGAAACCCTCCCACCGAAAGGAGATACCGGGCATCGCTCGGAACACTGTTTCGATATGAACGTTTATTTCTCTTTCTCTCAGTATTCATTTTGCCTAGTGTGCTAATTATATGCGCGTGTAGGAGCTTTCCAAAGACCAGTGTGCAAATAGCAATGGAAGGAAGTGACAATTAATAAAGTTCAAGCGTATCTAAGTTAAAAAAGCAATATTACAAGGCAAAATTCTGAACATGCTTTCGCGACCACTAGCTCGAAATCACAGCAGTTTCTGGAGTATTTCCGTACATCTGTACTTGAAAAGTGACAGTGATTTCGAATGATGTAGCCACGTGCACTTCCATTTGTATTTTACGCAACTGGTTCTTTGACGAATTACCACTGCCCTGCGGAAACAACGCCTCCATGTCTGACACATAACTGAATATTTCAGACTCCTCTGATAAGCTCCTCTGACGAGCACATTCAGTCAGAAAAACCACTTTGTCAATATTTTGTAAAGTCTCTCTTGTGGGATTAGTGTGATATTTATATATTACCTTTGGTATTTTAAACGCAGTCATTATTATTGATTGTTTGTTCATGTCTCTGAAAGTGTGTGACACACTACGTGAGTCTGGGGATGTAATGTTATTAAAAATTTGATGTTATTGTGAATTCAATGTTGTCGTGATTAACTGCAAGCAGTCTTTTATTCTTCTTCAGAAAACAACGCTTAACTCTTCATATATTTTAGCGTTAACATCATTCTAAAATGGTATTTTATAAACGCATTTCAGGGGAACATCATTTTGGATGGTCTTGTGTTCTTTAAACATATTGCACTCGCGGAAAGCTTATCAGTAAATGTAAGCGCATGAACAGAAAAGCATGTCTGCCTTTCATCTAGCTTTTTCTGGTTCCTTTTTCATTCCACTTTTCTGTTACTTCAAAATGTTTAGTTTTAACGGTTATGTGAGAACATCTTTTTTACCTAGATTTCCTGAAATCTCTTTTTTAATTGCTCATAAACTGTAATATATTTTATATTTGTTCTGACATTCGAGGGAAACTGTTTTCGAAAGAAAAAATTGAAATAGCAATTTCTTTTGAATTTGCGATACACATAGATCAGTATATTTGCTCAAAATACTATAACGAATTTATCATCTTAAAAACGAAAAAATTGCACTCAATAAATTGGGAAACAAATAGTAACGTAGCAATCACCACGATGATAACCATACTTACATCCTGATGAGTGTAATTGCGAAGATTAGAAAGAATACAGCTTTTACTGCTGACATCGTAACACTCCCCTTGCACATTTGTTCTCCTTAAATGTGTAGGTTGTTTGCTTGAACCTGAACATCTTTATATACTGGTGGAAACTTGAGCACAACCACATTGTCGTGAAGCTATTCCTTCTCAATAATATCTTAGGATGCACAGCTGGTTAACGGATTTTTAAAATTGCCATCAGCATAAAATTAAAGGCATTCGAAAAATGAGAATTATCGACTCAATGCGATGTGCGACCATTTGCTCATAAAAATTTCTTTTTTCTGTAGAACAAAACAATGTGGTAATCCCGAATACCTTAACACATATTATGAAACAGTAATATGCAGCTGTGCATGGTAGTTTTATTTTAAGCTCAACAATGGCTATGCAAGAAAACAGAAGGTTGACCTTTCTAAAATAGCTCTGTAAAGCAAGAAAAACAGGCGATCGAGCGTAACAACAAAAGCGCTTGCCAATTGACAATTTATTTCAAATAAGCAATTATGTACGGAAGGTCCACGAAATGACGTCTTAACAAACCGAGAAACCAATACGCAAGTACATATGCGGTCACCTTCGTAATTTCCGTCCTTGTTTTAAAATGTCCAACACGTTCAAGAAACTATCATAAGTTAATGTGGATTTCTTCACTGGTGAACAGGTTACATAGAAAGGAATGGTACAAATTAAGATATTCATGATTTGAAAACAAAACGGTATAGGCAAAATGTACCTGTTACCTTCTAGGTGACGACGAATAGCGCAACCACACATTGAAAATTCATGTGCATTCCCAAGACAACCCTGTGGTAGGAAAAACGCGAAGTGCACAAAATTATGTCACAACAATTACCGATTCAGCTTTATTTTCTAGAAAAAATCACGTCATATCCACGGAATTCATGATGCTAAGTGGGCGAAGCTCGAGAGGGGGGTATCATCGGTAAACCGTAACAGTCCCGTGAACAGTTAGCCCATCACATCCTTAGAAAGACGTAAGAATGTGAGTATATTACACAAATCAACTTTTATGTTGTTCTTAATGGTTTGTTGTTTTGCTTCTTCGTTTGTTCTTTCCATTTCTTTCGTTGTCATGGCAGCTCGATTGGGAGGTCCTTTCATTCTTACGGCTTGATGGTCCGTGAAATGAAGCGAGAGAGGTTCTTGTTCTGGCTGCAGTGGGATGTTTGCAAACACCAAGTTTATGCACGTCCCTCGGATCATGGTAGGTTACATATGGATACATCTGAGTGCGTATTTGGAAAGCATGTGCTGCACGATGCAGTCATTGGCAATGTACGTCCATCCATCCCTGCGTCAACGTCCGTCCGCGGGTGAACAACAAAAATTGGCAGCGTGCAGGTTGACTAAAAGCCGAATGAAGGTCTCCTGTGTCCAATCGTAGTCTTGTGTCTCTCATTGCCGATGAGGAGCAATGGGCATGTTCCCTGTAGGAGACAACGTCCCGTCACTGCGTGTTCTGTGCCTGCCCAGCTTTTTTTCCTGCGAAACGCCGCAAAGATCCCAAGCGTCAACACTGCCAGCAGTGTAAGCGTTAGCACCCGCGGCTTCGTACTTACGTATGCTTCCCATTAGCGGGAGGTGTTTTTTATTTCTTTTATTGACCGAAACGTCATGAAATGACATGTTGCTAAAATAAAAAAATATTTATAAATGTTGCACGCACAGATATATGTTGAAGAGTTCCAGACGTTTATATAACCAATCGTTTGCAATTGCACTACAATGCAAACAGGAGCATCAGTTTCAGCAACACCAGAAGCGATAAGCTCGTATGAAGCCCTGGTGCTCGCAAGGATTCTGGCCCTGGACACTCCTAGATAAACCAGATTCAGCGTATGGCAGCTAAGCACAATTGACGTTAGCCTTACGTGAGGACTGTATCAAAGAAGTACATATGTAATGTTTATAAAATTGGGTAGGCAGCACTACAACTACTATTGACGTTTGACGAAGAGTATCGTCTATATGGATGGTAGTTGAGAGAAATGACATGGCTCCGTGGAAGAATCCTTGATTTCCACGCACAGTATTTGGGATAGGTTCTTGCGGGGA